CCCGACACAGTACATCGCCGCCCCGCCCCGCTACTGTCACCGCCCGCCCTGCTGCACCTCGCCATCGCCGCCCGCCCTGCTTCACCTCGCCGTCGCCGTCGTCGTCCGCGAGCAACTTTCTTTTATTTTTGTTAGATTTTTTTTAGATTTTTTTGTATAGTTCATAGATTTTTTTGTTAGATTATATTTGTAGTAATTTAGATATGTAGTTCATATTGTGTAATTTAGATTGTGTAATTAATTTGTTCATATTATGTTAGATTTTTTTTATGTTAGTAGATTTTTTTGTTAGATTAGGTGTGTAGATCTTTTTGTTAGATTAGATGTGGTGTAATTTAGATATGTAGTTCATATTGTGTAATTTAGATTGTGTAATTAATATGTAGTTCATATTTTTAGTAAGTAGCTAGTTTATTTAATAAACTAATTTATTTTACTATATATAGAAGTAGTTTGTTTTTAGTAAATAGTACTTTATTTATTTATAGTAAGTGCTTAATTAGTAGTTGAACTAGATAGTTGATTTAATTAATAAAACTACTTTATTTAACTATATATAGAAGTAGTTCCCGCATCGACGTCGGCGATGCCTATCCCGCATCCTCGTCGTCGTCGACTCAGCGGTGGAGGCTTGCTTGATCAGGGCCATGTTCGGGACTGGGCTCCGCCGGGCTGGTATTGGGAGGTGCTACCTTCCGGGGGACGTAGGTTGGTGAGGAGGTAGCCCGTTGTTGACCCGATCCTTGTTTGGTGGCGGTCGCGTGGGCCAGTGACAGTGCCGAGGCTTCCGGTCACCGGGAGGTGGTACGTCACCGTGTTAGCGAGGAGGACGAGCACGTCCGTCGCTACATAGTTGCATTGGAGGGCAGGTTCGACAATACCTGGCAGGTTCTTTAGGGATCTCACTGGAGCTATGATCTTGTGATGGTTCCTTATCTTTGGGTGTCCACCGCCCGTGTCGATACCCGTCGGGCGCTACGGTTCTAGTTGTATTAGTGATGCTATATTAGTGATAATATTCGACGATGTATGGACACCAAGAGATGATGTACTTTTGCTTATAATTATTGAATGCATGCTAATTTGAATACTACTTTATTTTATGATTTGGTTTTGCTTATTTTATGATTTGGTTTTGCTTATTGAATGCTCATATTGGATAAGTTCTCCTTCATTCCCGTGTGCTAGACAATTTGGTGTAATAATGCACTCAGGAATGAAAGGAGGAGCTATGTACATCACCGATAGTCAACCCGTGATTAATAATCTAGTTTAATATTTGAATTATGAACATAGGCCGGAAATGTCGTACTCGGACGACGAAAACCGCAAGGGGGAGTGCGACTGGTGCCATGACAACCGAGGTATCTGCGACAGGTTCATTGAGCTGGACGAAGATCGTCGCTTCAACATTAAGCTCGAGGAGACCTTTGATGTTCATACGGTACGCAACCGACGATAATATTTTTTTTTTGTAATTAACCATGACTTCAACTATTTTAATCATGACAATATTTTTCATCTTTTCCAATTCGACTAGCTTATCCCATGCTTTGCAAGACGCTATGTCTTGGAGAGGATGGGTTTTGAAGACCATGAAAGTTTCGAAACCAAAAAAATTATCCTAAGTACCCATCATGGTGTGGATTTTCAAGTAAAGCTGTACAATGCTTAGAGTGTAACCCATTTTGGTTGCAAAAATTGGGAAGCACTTTGCAAGATGTATGGTCTTGATGAGGGTATGCTTGTCACCATGGATCTTGGTGATCCTACAATCGAGCAAGAGGGACCTTCGATTTGGGTCATTGTGGATACACCTCCAATTCTTCCCCCATGTGAGCTTAACATAGTTATTAAGTAATTTATATTGTTTATTTCAAAATAGTTGACAACTTATCTCCATTGAAAGATTATTTTCATTCTTCAAAGAATGTGCGGAAGATGGTAGACAGAACCTACTACACCGAAGGCTCCGAATTAACTTATCAGGAGAAAAATCATCTGGTCGGATTTTGTACTGATCTTAAGAATTACAATATCTACAATCAAACTCCTCAACATTATGGTCAATACGTGCCACTAGTGCACGTGTTGAACTACGGTAACTACCATGGAGATACCCTGGTAAGATTATTTTTTACTATTACAACATCCGTGCATCTTTTTGCACACTTCTAAAAATAGTACATCATTGCTAACTACGAAGTTATTATTATGTTTTTCAACAGATAATCCCAAATGATTGTGTGCCTCATCTGATGTATACGCATGGTAGCCTTCATGTTTTGAACATACAACCAGGTCGTCCTACGAATCTCAACTGTCCATACCGGGTTTCTAAAAGAAGTGAAGACATAACAATCAAAGAGTAGAAAAAATGTATGGACAGTCGTAAGGAGCTTCTTGGAAGCAAAAAGCAGCGAAGGGCAAGAATTGGAGACAGGATGATCGCCATTCTTCATAACGGAGAGTCAGGGTCTATATTGTTTTATGATATTTTACCTTAAGGGTGTTTAGGTCCTACCTGATACTGATGATCATGTGCTAAGAACAATTACATAGGGTTGGGTTCGATGACTATGAGGATGATGATCGTATGACTTATTATTAATAACGAGTAGAAGTTGTATGATGATGCATGATTAGTAGGACTTGTTATTATATATGATGATGTATGATGCGAGCATGCATGAGCATGTTATATCAGCGGGTGAAATGAACATAGCAGCAGCGTTGATAAACCAAGGACGAAGATATAAGAGAGGACACTTCTCTCTATTAGCTAGCTAATAACAACCTAAAAATAACCCCCAAAACCCCTAAAGCAGCCACTTCGTAAAAAAAATGGACTTTTGGTCCCGGTTGGTGCCACCAACCGGGACCAAAGGCCCCCCGACTGGGCTCGGCGGACCGGCCACGTGGACGCACATCTGGCACCCACCGGGACCAAAGGCCCCCCTGATTGGGCTCGACGGACCGGCCACGTGGAGGCACATCTGTCCCGGTTCGTGTTTGAACCGGGACTAATGGGTGTAGGCATTAGTAACGACCCATTAGTCCCGGTTCATGAACCGGGACTAAAGGCCCTTACGAACCGGGTCTAATAGGTGTTTTTCTACTAGTGCGTGGTGGCGTCGACGATAGCTTGACCGAGCAATGTTGATGCATCAGTACAGTTCTGAAGATGGGGCGGTGGCAGTTGGCGGCGGCGGCCTCTGAGAGCACGCCGGACCAGTGTGTGCCCCAGACCCGGCAAGTGGCTAGGTTGGGGTCTCAGGTCCTAGATGTTAGGCTTGGTTGCGATGTCTGTTTGGTATTAGCAACCCTTCATCAACTGGATAGGTGTAGCGACGGTTTGTTGCTTAGACGACGGCTTTAGTCTTACTGTTGTATGACTTTGTAAGGTCTTGTGAGAATAATTAAGAAAGTGGCCGTATACATCGACCAGATGCAGAGGCCGGGGGTTATCCTCCTTTTATAAAATAAAAAAAAACGTGCGGTTCTACACTAGTCATGTTTACCTGAAAGCCGTTTTCATCGCCATCCAGGCGTGGCTGCCACATCTAGACGTGTCCACTTCGACACAAGCATAATTTGTTGTGGATTTACCGGAACCAGCTCACGAGTATCTACATCAACCATTCGTATGCACGAACCGAGTCCCATTTCGACTAGTGATGGGGGCTTGTGGGTGACAAGTATGTTTTGTGATTAATAATGTCTATCTCTTGCTTAATTTACACTCTTTTGTACTAAAAGACAAGAACACAACTCGCTAGCGAGGAGACGATATGTTGCTTGCCATAGGAGGATATGCATATCTGATCAAATACCCAAAACATTTTATTGATCACCGTAATTTCGGGTACGTAAATTATTTTCTTTGAGAATCGATACTACAAATTAAAAGAAAATCCATCAAATGATAAGTGAAACACGTCAGGTGTTCCGAGGTGTCTACTAGGCGAGCCCTAGGTACTCGGCCGTCAGAGGCTTGAAGATGTGCTGCTGGTCGGACTCGAGGGCCGCCGCGAGGCGCGGCCATATGTAGGCGTTGACAAGCCAGGAGCCGTCGCCTCCCGGCCGAGCTCCGACCGACAGGTAGCCCGAGCTGAGCCTCTCAAAGTCCCACATGGGCATGGCCAGCACGGCATCGCCGAAGCCGAAGTCTGTGTCGAGCGGGAAGGAGGCGGACACCGTCTGGTTCAACGTAGGCGTGCCCAGCCCAAGGATGCCCTTCTCAATCCTCCTCTCCGTCTTGTGCTCCTCCACCCAGTCCACCAGCTCCTGGGTGTACTCGCCGTAGTCGATGGACGTGATGGTCTCCCGCACCATGGCTGCCACCTCCGCCAGCTCCTTGTTCCGGATCTCCTCCACGGTTGCGTCCGCGATAGCGTACAAGGCCGCGTTGCCGAAGTAGTTGCGCATCGCCCGGGCGAGCTCCGGCGCCTTGACCCGTCGCCGCGCGTCCACCATCCACCCCATGCAGCAGCGCTCCTCGTGCACGCGGCACGCGGCCACCACGCCGGCGAGGGCCTTCCAGAGGTACGCGGACACTGCCTGGACGCGGGACGAGCGCTGGAGCCTGGTGCTTGCCATCTCGCGCAGGCTGGCGATGTCGCTCGCCTCCACGTAGTAGAGGCGCTCGACGAAGCTGTCGTGGGCCGTCAGCGCGTTGACCATCCGGTGGTGGTCGTACATCGCGAACTTGTCGCTGGTGGAGGCCCTGTACGACGGCGGGCTGCGAGGGCGGAACACAGAGCGGTCATGGTTGGGCGGTCCGTCGTCGATGAAGCTCCCGGTTCGGGCGAGCTGGGACCACATCCTGAGGAACATGGTGATGGCGTGGCCGTCGTGGACGATGTCGTTGTTCCCCCACGCGACCGAGAAGCCGCCACAGGCGAAGGACAGCAGCTGCACCGAGAGCGTCACGTCCTCGGCGTACGGCAGCATGATCTTCTTCAGGGACTGCTCCGCCACGCCGTAGTCCAGGCTAGCCATGGCGGCGTCGACCTCTCCGACGACGAGCTCGGCACCTTGGTTGTCGCAGAGCAGCTCCGGGAGGCCTGAGCTTGGGTTGCTGCGGATGCGCCCGGCGTAGTGGTAGAAGACGTTGAGCACGGACGGCAGGACGGACTCGAAGGCGGCGACCACCGCCTGGAAGTCGCCGGCATTTGGGAGCTTGGGGTAGAGGCATACTATGGAGGCTTGCCCCTCGCCAGCGTAGAGGTCCAGGTTGGAGAAGGAGGCGACGTGCGGTTCGAAAGACGGGTCGGAAGCCTTGACAAGGCCGCGTCTCAGGACGCGGATGGGCATGTCGCCGCCGCCGGAGCCAGTAGCATTAGGAGACACCATACTAATCGATCTCAGTTATCTAGCTTGCTGTTCCTATGCTAGCTAGTGACATGCACGGGCAATATATAGCCGCGCTTGGCTTAGCCTGGTGAGAAAGTTTGGAGCCCATCTCCCCCGAAATTGTTTTTTTCAAGCGGTGGCGGAACGTAGCTAGCGGTGAAGCATCTCTCATTCAGAGCAATGCTACATCAACGGAGTGTTACGGGCCTTTTACGGGGTAAATTTGAAGTGGCAATCTGTGATTGCACCAAAGGAGGAGCGACGGCCCCACCCCCCTGAAAATCAGGAGGGGGGGGGGGGGCAAAGTATTAGTTGGTTGGAAGGTCCGTGAATACCCTGTAATGAGCCCGTCGATGTAGCATCTTTGCACTCCTCATTCATGCATGGCCAATATTTTCTTTATCTGTGACACAGTGCAGACACAAACGCTCGTACATATGGCACACATATTTGTACCTTACTAGTCATCAACCCGTGGCGCTGCACGGGCTAAAAATTGTTGTCTTAACATTGTTGTGTAGTTCCATTTTTTTCATATATTTTTGTTCAATAAGTAAGTCGGCATCATACAAAATATACTCCCACGTTCCAAATTGGCTGGCATACTTTTTTTTCTAAAACTCAAACATGTTTGTGTTTGCTCAACTTTAGTAAACGAAATAAAAAGAGCACATGACTTGGTATTTGCTTTATCTATAAAACGAAACAAAAGCCTGTTTCATAGAACATAAATGACCAAGGATACCATTATAAGAGGAGGCCGTATTATGTTGGAGATAAAAGCCATGTATTCGTCTAGTCTTTTTTTATCAAAACTAGTATCATAGTGCAAATAAAATGCTTTTACGCAAGTAAGTCATATAGCCTTACTTGTAAGCTACATGTAGATAATAGGTCTATCATGAGGGTGTGTGTTGACTACCTAACATATTCATAGCTATGTTTTTTGTTGTTTACCTCGGAGTAATATGAAGATGAAGGGGGCGACTAAGAATACTATGGAGAGCCCAAGGAGTGAGGCCACATGGACTACATCGACTATCTATGGTTGAGATGGAGTTGTTGTGCATTGTTACGTGAGTGAAGTGCACTGTAGGTCCTTGAACTATTCCAGGGATGTCACGTAGGTCCTCGAACTATGAAAATCGTCATCTAGGTTCTCAAAGTGCAGTAAGTGTGTCATTCAGGTCCAAAATATCCCTGACAGGCTCTAACTGGCCAGCTGGCACATAAACAGTAACCGTAACAGTCGCGGCAAACAGTCCTGAATTCCTGTGCGTGATGAACAGTACACGACAAAGAATAAATATAAAAAAATATCAAAAAACTGAGATCCTCTGTCATCGAAGAGACCCTGGCGCGTGAACAGTAAAAATATAGTTAATTCAAAAAAAGTTCGCAAACGATGAATTTGGAAAAATATTTGTGACTTTAATAAAATGTCCGCGAACGATGAATTTGGAAAAAAATATTCGTGACTTTAAAAAAATATTCGTGAGTTTAAAAAAAGTTCGCGAACGATGAATTTGGAAAAAATATTCACGACTGTAAAAAAATGTTCGTGAACGATGAATTTGGGAAAAATATTCGCGAGTTTAAAAAAAGTTTGCGAACGATGAATTTGGAAAAAATATTCATGACTTTAGAAAAATGTTCGCGAACGATGAATTTGGAAAAAATATTCGTGACTTTAATAAAATGTTTGCGAACGATGAATTCGGAAAAAATATTTGCGACTTTAATAAAAAGTTCACTAACATTTTTTAAAGTCAGGAATTGTGGTTCGGGAACATTTTTTTCCATACCCACGAACAATATTTGTGGTTCGCGAACATATTTTCAAATTTATTGTTTGTGAACTTTTTTAAAGTCGCGAATATTTTTCCCATATTCGCGAACATTTTTTGAATTAATGAACATTTTTACTATTCACGCACCAGGGGTATCTTTGATGCCAAAGATTTTCAGATTTTTTTGTTCATATTTTTTTATTTTTCGCACTGTTCACCATGCCAGCTGGCCATTTAGAGGGGGTTAGTGAGATTTTGGACTTGGATGACACACTTACTGTACTTCGAGGACCTAAATGACGATTTTCATAATTCGAGGACCTATGTGACACCCCTGAAATAGTTTAAGGACCTACAGTGCACTTCACTCTTGTTACATTTTGCTGCTTTTATGAATGTTCTAGATGTTATAAAACATGTCAGAATGTATGCCTTGTTACAAGAATAATAAAACTGTGTAATATCTTTGTAGCATTTTGCAATGATGCCATCTCACTTTTTATGGTCAACATGATACTGGATTGACCAAAGAAGGTGTTAGTTTGCGGGTTCCCACAAGGTTCTTTCGAGCGAACACATAAGGGAACTCTCGATAAATGCTTATCATATCTCACTCTCAAGCCTCGTATTCTTGTTCAACAAATATGTGATGTTCCATACAGTGGACATATATCAGCATTACAAATGCAACTAAATGTCTCGAAACAAAACCCTAAGTAGTGTTGAGAAGAAATAGCTATCAAATTGCGTGAGTTGGAATATCCTAGACGTCCGTTGGAAGTGTTGTTATTCAAGAACCAACTTTTAATAGGGGTACCAATAGCAATGTGGTTAGTTTTGAGTAGGCAAGGGTCTGCACGACGACCTTCTAGCAAATGTCATTGTACACTAGAAAAATGAGACAAGGGTTGTGAGGAGCGAGGGCAAGCGGAAAGTGATGCCCTGGCTGTGATGCCGCTGCGAGGAGAGTGCACCGCGAAGGTGCCTTTGGCGTATGCCAATGCGCTAGTAAATAAAGACAGACGACACATGTCTAGTAGCACGTCGTGCAAAATGCTATGGTCGGCGGAATTCAATGCATGCACTGGCAGGTGTGGCATGCGAATCGAGCGAGAAAAATTATGTTTGTGTCGCACGTCAAGGGTAGGCCCCACATCGGTAGGAACAGTCAAATGCGTCTCCTTGTCGGTAGGTGCAGTCGATGTGTCAAACAGGTCCCACAGATGTGGAAATGGGCGGAAGAGACGGCAACACGTGGAGATGGCACGCGAGGGTACGCAACCAATTTGTGTCCAATCGATGGTGGAGAGACCGAATTCATGAAATTATAGTGGTAAACGTCCAATATTCGAGTTCGGCAATGGCACGGACAGAAAATTCCCATATAAATAAACACTCGTGGCTCATGTGCCCATGAGTAGAAACACTTGGTGAACTTTACATTTCTTATTTAAGATGCATATCAATAATTGCTCGTGCGCAGGATATAAATAATGTAACAATGTTAGCCCATGATTTAGCTGCCCATATTAATGTTATTGTATAATATAAATGTTTATCCAAATTGTACCTATGACTTACCTACCTAAATAAATTTTAGAATTTTATTTGGTAAGCACTTACTGGCTTACCAAGGGGAAAATAATTTTATTTGGTAAGTCAATAGATAAAAAATGGGATAGTTAAGATGGTTTTTAAGAGAAGCGGGTGAAAAAAAGCAGAGATAGGAGAGAAGAGAAATCAAAATGAAAAGAGTGAGGAGAAGCGGATGACCCGGCAGGAAAAGCAGTACAAGTAGTGGAGATATGATAGCCACGTCAGTACAAAACGTTCCCCAGAATACTACACCATCAATTTATCTGTGAGACCAATCCAATCAGCTCTGAAATCTTAGGGTAGTAGATCATGTGCGATGTGTTGCTGAGGAAAGGACTTGGCAACCGAACAAACGATCAGATGAGACAAAAGTTAAGATAAGCCATGCGTGACTGTCCGGACTCGGGAAAAAGACTGATGAGCATCAGGACAAAAAAGACCGGTGATAGAAAGATACGTGCAACCAAAGCCATACTTTGAGTTTTCAGCTTACGTTGCGTTCGGTACGAATCGGTAGTTTCTTCGGGTTGCTTTCTTCGGAGAAGAAAGAAAGGCGATCTCCCCTTCACTGACGACCTCGGTCATCGGTGGTGAGGGGGGTCGTCGGATCCACGTATGTCGATTGTTTTAGGCATTAGTTTCTTACGATTTTGGATTGTTTATCGTCATGGCTTCGGCAACGGTGATGGCGGCGCCGACTGATAAATCTTCAGATCCTCCTCCAACGAGGTGATCCGCTTTTGGGGTGGATTTGGAGACCAGACTGTTCAAGCAAGGATGGTGCGGCGGCGGCGGCATCCTCGTGCTGGACTTGTGTCCTCGGGCTCCGCCGTTGCGACGGCATTTGCTCCAGCGCCGGCGTGGAGCTTGGGAGGTAGTTCAGAAGCAGATGCAGATTGTGGTCTGCATCGACGGCATCTGGAAGGTGGTGGATCTTGGTTCATGGTTCGTGGCAGGCATGTATGGTTTCCTCCTCCAACGTCTTAGTTGGGCGGGGGTGCCAGATCTATAGTTCGATGGCGTGTCCGTGGTGTTGCCCCGGTCCGACGGCAATGGCTTCACCTTTATTGGCGAGCCACCTTGGAGGTCCGCAAAGTTGCATATCAATGATGGAGCCACGTCGAGCTCGGGTGTGAAGGTGATCCGTCATTTTCTTCTTTGGTGGTTGCTATGGTGGTGCCAGAGGCAGGTGATGGGCGTTGATGTCAAGCTTAGAGGATTCTTCAGTCTTGTTTGTAATTTTATTTCTTGGTTGATGTTCCTGTGTGCAAAGGCTAGCGTTCTGCTGTCTTTTCAGTTTCGTCAGATCGGTATGTACACGGCTTGTACTATCATCTTTATAATATAAATAAGACACGTATTACCATGCAAAAAAAAGGTTATGTTGCGGGCCCCTGGCTTGGATCCTACTAGCAGGTAGAGCAAGTGAGATCGATCAAACAAACTCTTGTTGATCTGACGGCGCCATCCTCCCTCATAATTAAGCAGCCAGCAAGTTATTCAAATACCTACAACATTCAGCTGCAGCGAGACTGCTGCTGACCCTGTTCTGTTGTACACACACCCAAAGGAAAGCAGCGGCAGAACACCAAACCCAGGCAGAGCAGACCGTCT